TTCCGCAGCCCACAGCAGCCGCCCTTGTAGTAGACGCCGAAGAGGAAGAAGGGTGAGCCAGCAGCCCAACCAGCAGCAGCAGCGCCAGACCAGAAAGGCATAGCAGTGCCGCGCTCAGTTACGCCGACCGCACGCCCAGTGCACACAGGTGGGGAGGGAACAGAGCCTAAACCCGAACACCCAAAAGGAACAAGGGCCGTCGAGAGAGGATGCCACGTGAAATGTCAAGAAAGCGTGAGGCATCACGCGCGAACGGAAGGTGTTAGATGCGCAGACAACCCTGGCCAGCAGCATCAGCTCCAGTAGAGCGTAAACGCACTCAGCGAGGAGCCAAAGCGCACCTCGATTGCCTCCTAAGGGAAGGGAAGGGCCTAAACCCGAAAACCCCAAAGGAGAGGGCTAGCCTAAAGAAGCGAACCCGCACCAGCAGCAGCAGTGCCAAGCACGAGCCAAGCTAGCAGCGCTCGGAGTGGTTCGGGGCTCGCACCCGGTAGAAGCGGATGGGCCGTAGCAAGGTCGAGCAAAATTTTGTTGCAAGAAAAGTCCCAATATCAGGGACTCCCGCCGGCAGCAGCAGCGCCACACAAGGAAGCATAGCCGCGCTCAGCAGAAGGCCTGAGCTCACGCCAGATGCACGCAGGGACCCCTAGGGGAGAAGGGCCTAAACCCAAAGAAACCCTAAAGGGGGCAAAGGCATCGCGGAGCCACGGAAACCTGGGAAAGCAAGCTCCACACAATAGCAGCAGCACCACGCAACAAAGCGAGGCCGCGCTCATGCAGAGAGGAGTTTACGCCAGGTGCACGCGGGAACCACTAGGGGAAAGTTGGGGCCTAAACCCACAAGCAAACCCGAAGAGGAGCAGGCAGGAAGTGATCGTTCGTTCCGCCCAGCACATAAAGAATGCAAGCGGCACACACACGAAAGACATGCCAAGGGCAATCAAAGAAATGAGAGGCCCAAGGTGTGTTGTCCAAGATTATTCTGGTGCAGCCAAAGTTTGTCAGGGCCTAGCCCCTTCGGGCTCAGCATCATCAAGAGGAACGCTCTTCACATGTTTGTCCAGCTTCTCGGCAGCAGCTGCTGCAAGCCGGATGGTAGTCAGCTCCCAATCCCGAGCCTGATCACACTGCTGATGCCATCGCTCCCTGAGAGAGCCCGAGAGTCTGTTTTGCATGCAGTTGCCCGCCGCCTGATCTGCAGCATGGTTAAAGGCGCGGAGCACATCCGCATCATGATCAGGCGAGGGCCTCCAGCGGGGGTGCTTATTATGTGACGGCACCCAAATCAAGGAGATAGCACAGCCGCGCCTCTCCAGCTCCTTCCAGAGACGGCGCGCGTCCCTCAGCAAGAGACCCAACGTAAAGGGATCATCACCATGGCCTGAGATGGCCGTCAGGGCAGCCTTGCAGTCAGTCAAGAGAAATATGCACGTCTCGCAGCCCTCACTCCACACCCGGTGGACCGAAGCAAAAGCCGCGTGGAGGGCCAGAACTTCTTGCCGATACGGGGATTGATCCTCTGCCCCAGTGCCCATGGCATAGACACAAGACGGGTCGCCAATCACCACGGCAAAAGCGCCGACAGATCGATGGCTGGAGCCGTCAGTAGCCGCATAAATCCTGCTCCGGCCCGAGCCGAGCGCGGCACGGAAAGCAGCATCTAAGTCCGCCCGAAAAACCCCACAGTCAGAGGAGGCAGGCGCCGGAGGCTTCAAGGGAGTCGACTTTGCAAACATGCGCTCCTCTGCTCGCGTCGTCGGCGGGGGATGGTCCCGTCGGAGCGCCTCGGTGCACTCGCAAACCCAGGTCACATGCGGTCGCGACGGAGCAGTAGCGCCGCAGAGGCAATGCATGCGCCGGTGCTGCTCGTGCAACCCCTGCCCGGCCGTAAAGAACCAGCAAGCCTCCCGTGACAGCAGTGGCCCGTCGCATATAAGGAGTGGTCGCCTCATGCATGGCAACACGGTGCCCACGAAAGCTGAAGCGCGCATCCCGCAACGGAGGCTCAAGATCCAGGCCTCGTGCAAGGCTCGGGTCCGGCCTATGAAAGCTACGCCAGACACGCTGGCATCTCTGCATGTAAAGGTGCCGGTAGTGGTCAAACAGCCAGCCCTTTACCTCAGCAAAGCTCTCCCATCCGACCTGCACCTCACGAGAGATTCCCAAGTCATCGCGGCAGGCGAAAAAGAAGCCGTCAGGGCGTTCAACGACGCTCCACCCCAATCTGCGGAGAAGGCCAGGCGCAGCAGGCAACAGCTGATCCCAGCGCTGGCCCCGGACGTCACGCGGCCGCTCCAGGGCAAAAGCCGGAGGCTTGCAGAGAAGGCGAGAGTCAGCAGCGCACTGTGGCTCCAGCATCCACCCCACATGTTCGAAGATCAGGACGCGCGGGGCTTCAAAGGAAAATTGACAGTCAAAAACCCGAATCGCAGCATCTCTAACTTGTTTCATCTCGCCTGCCAGTGGCGTAGCGTAGGCAGCAGCCCACACCAAACACGGGTAAACAAGCGATTTCAACATGAGGGCCCGCAGTCGACTGCAAGCGGTCACCCAGCGCAAAAGGTCCATGCGCAGCAAAGCTTTTTTCCAGGAAAATTTCAGCAATCCCCATTCATCATTAAAGGAAACAGTGACACCTAAGACTTCAAGGGTTTGCGAGTACTGATAGTTTAATCGGGCAGCCAGAGCAGGAGCCTCAACATGACCCTCTGGCGCCACGATCGCACACTTTGGCAAGGATATTTCTAGGCCGCAAGTGGCATCGAATCGGTTGGAGCGCTGAATCGCATGCTCCAGGTCGCTAAGATCCGCAGAAAAAGTCCAGAAGGAACGGTCGTCCAAATAGACCAGGCCTGAAACCCCTTGCCTCAAAACAGCCAAGGTCCAAAGGTGGCTGAATGCGGCAGCTAGGGTGGGACTTAAGGGACAACCCTGAGCTATACCCAAGCGGGGCTTAAACCAGGCATCGCTGTATGCGCCATCGAATTGGACGATGCGCGAAGCTCGCGTGTAAAAGGCCTTCAGCAGCGGCCAAAGAAAAGGCGGCGCTTTCAGATGAGAAAGGAGGACCTCAAGGGCTTCAAACTGGATAGCATCAAAGAACCCCGCAATGTCCTGTTGAACCGCAACGCTGGCGCCACCGCGCATTGCAGCATTCAGCTGAAGCAGGGCACCCGACACCGACGTGCCCGGGATGCCGCCGGCATCCGACGGGGACTTCCACGAACCTATCCAGTCGGAGAGTTGGGCATTCAAAATCCTTGCTCCCGCACGCCAGACAGCTTGAGAAATGGTTAACGGCCTGAAGCCGCCTTTGAGTTTCTTAATCATCACCACACGTGCATGCGCCCACTGGGCTGGGACATCACAACAAGCGAGGCACCGATTCCACAGTTGGGAGGCCCACACCCACCAAAGATCAGGCATGGAACATAGTAGACCAGGTTTCCACGCATCCGGCCCGGCAGCACGGTGCCGCATGGACTGCATCGACCGTCGAAGAGCCTCAGGCGTGATGTTAGGCACAACCTCCAAGCCAGCAGGGCGCGGCAAAGGCCGCAACAGATCACGCATGGCTTGCATGTCAACCGCCCGAAAGGACGCGGGACAGAGCTTCGCACGCAGATCCTTCGCCACAGCTGCGACCGCTACCGCCGGATGTGCAGGGTCGCCCGGACTGGCAACATCCGGAAGCTGACGCTCCCAAGCAAGTTGCTCATCAGCGCGCCGCTTGACAAAGGACCGGGCACGAGGCAGGTCAGCACGCGTCCTGGTGCGCCACATTTGCTTTCTAGCATCCTCCTCCTGCTGCGTGAAAGTCTCGATGAGCTGTTCAACATGTGGAAGAAGAGAGAGCTCATCTCCATCACGGGCATAAGGCAGGCTTGGCACCTTCAAGCGCGTGGACCGGAGTGAGCGCCTGATTCGCGCCATCAGCAAGGCATCGTTCGTCCGGTGGGAAAGAACCTGAAGCCTCGCACGGAGTCGCAGCAAGAGGCGCAGGCTTTCCGACTTCACAGGCTGCTTGCCCGACCGTCCCGCAGCAGTGGAGGTAACAGGCTCCCACGAAGACGCACGAGGGACGCACTCTGCAGAGCACGGCTCACACAGAAGGGCCTCGGCAGTGTCCGACAAGAAGCGCCAGGCGCCGTCCAAATCATTATGTTCCAAAGCAAGCGCAAACGGTCCTGCATCGATTTGAGCACATCTGGTCTCCAAGTCAGAAGGCAGGAGATCGTCGCGAGGCTTGCATCTCCTGGGCCCAACCAAGGGGCGAGGGGCAGCAAGGGCATACGAGTAGTGCACACCCAAATGGTCCGACCAATCGCACTGAAAGTGATCCACTGAAACCGCTGGCAGGTCACGGTGATTCACAGCGAAATCGATGCGACGAGAGCGCACTCCCTGGGCATTGACCGGGCCCGTGGCAGGAAGAGGCCGGCCACGTGCACACTCATCACCAGCAAGAACGGTGCCTTGAGCAATTAGCGACCCTAAGCGGCCCTGGGAAGGCTCGAGGTTGTAGTCGCCTAAAACCACAAATCTATAACCCGAGGTCACCGCACACGCCAAAACTTCATCCACTTGTGTCTGGGCGGCTACTGGCTCATTGCCAGCCTGACCATAAAAGGCCACAACCAGGATGGTTTCATCAGTGGCACTCCGGGAGCTCGCAGGAAGCGAAGGATCATCCGCAGGGAGAGATCGCAAATTAAAGAGCCCCGCCACATGCCTGGTGGAAGCAGGACCCTTGCATAACTGAACGTGCCGAAAAGGAAAATCGCTGACCAAGGCGACGCGGCTGCCGAGATCCTCAGGAGCGCTCAGAGCAACATGCCTGCCATGCGCTTTCCACTGGTTGCGATAGCCGATGCCAGCCGTTTCAGGAACATTGACCTCGGATAACGCCATGATCTGTGGGGGGCCTTGCCGAAGCAGAGCATCAAGCAGCCCCACCGTCGACGTGCCACGCCGGTGAACATTCAAGCACGAAAGTCGAATCACACCGACAACATGGGGGCTCGCAAGGCCTTTTCAGCAGCAGCGAAAGCGAGCTCGCCTTGCTCTTTGCGAACAGAGGCAGGAGCGGCATCATGAAGCTTTTTATTGGCAGCAAGGGAGCGCAACCGAATCCACGCCCTCGCCTTAGCAGTGCGAGAAGGGCACTGTCCCTTGACCGAACGATGCTTCCGAGCAATCTCTGCAGAGGGGCACGGCGCTCGGCATTTGCGGCACACCCAAGCCGGGCATATGCGCAAGGGATACTTATCAACAGTATTGGTGTCCTTCCCGGCCTGGCGCGGCCACCCGAAGGCATCAAAGTCCTGAGCCTCAAGCTCGCGCAGCACCGGCAGGAGCTTAGCCTTCTGGGCATTGTTACGAGTGACACTAATCTTTGAGGCCCATTTGGTAGCCGAATGTGATTTCGCTTCCTTGTTCCACACAGCCCAAGAGACGCGCGGGTGGGCCTTTGTTTTATGCTCCCGGCGAAATCGCCACAGGGAGTCCTTGCCAAAGCGGGCCGCATCAGCAGTCGAGATGGCTGCCTGGCACCGTTTGCATCTCCAGTGCGCCTCCTCGCCATCAGCGAGGTTACGAACACAGGAGGCCTTGCATGCAGGAGCGAGTCCAAGCTTCTCCCCCGGATGCGAATCCAAAAAATGCCGCTGATAGGCCGCATAAGCCTTCACAGGATCAGCACACTTGCGGCGGAAGGGACAAAGCCTGCATTTAGCAACTCCATCAGGGAAAGCTCGGCCGCGGTTACGACGGGCCATAACGAGGGCAGACTGAGGCAGGGCCCGGTTGGCATGATGCAAACGCTCAGGGCGCGGGGCATCATCATCGTCCCACTCCAGCAAGGCAGGCATTTGAGAATGCACGGAAGCGTCTGAAGAGACGGCTCGGGACCATACCGTCACGGCGGCACCGCGAGCGCGCTTGAGACAACTTGGGCCAGACCGATGGCCAGCAATGCAATCATCCCTTTGCGAACTCGGAACTGAAGCATCACGCCTGGATTGTGAAACGGCCTTTTTGCTCGATGTTTTGACAGCAGTCCACACAGTACCCGCCTTCACAGAGGAGGTTCGACTGGCCTTGGACCGGTTGGATCGGGCGCTGCCTGTCCAAACCGTACCCGAGCACTGGGAGGCATCGTCACCTCCGGCACGCAAGTCCACAACAGCACCGCTCGTAACAGAGAAGATCTCCTCGGGGTACTCTCGAGAGTCCTTAGCGGGCAAGCAAAGCAAGGGACACCACCATCAGCAGGGTCAGATTTGCAATGTGCAATCGAGGCTCGTCGGAAACGCAGAAGATCACCCACACTTCCCGGGACCTTGTGAGGACCATTCGCGTCCAAGGTTACAAGGGTGATTTTATGAGATTTGCTGGTGCCAGCAAGCATGGTCCGAATTCTCGGCAGCGCCGAGGGCTCGACAAGAATGACAGCTTCCAGAGCAGAACCCGGTTTAAGGTCGTCCAATGCTTTGGCAATTCCATCCTGCGACAAAAGCTGCGCGCTCCAATCCTGCGATCGGAGCTGGAAGGGGCCCTGCGGGGGAGCACGCTGAACCTTGGTCCAGCCCTCAGCATCACGAGGAGGCCGGTCTCCCTGCCCTTTACCCTTTGATCCAGACTTGGGTGGGGACACCTCTGCACTACCTTTAGCAGCACCCTTGGCCGATCCCTTTGCAGCAACAGGCTGACCACCTCTGCCACCAGATGCTTTGCCCTCGCCCGGCTCACGAGAAGTGGGATGGCGGCTCGAATCGTGGTTTTTTCGGGTAGGGTCAGGCTTGTGGCGTTTGGGCCCCCGCTCCAGGTCCGGCTCCTGCAGCACAACACGGGGAGGGGTTGCCGGGGCACCTCCCATTGCATTTGCAATGGCTTCCTGCACAGCTTTCTGAATGAGCGCAGTGATCATGGGCATAAGCTGTTCAGTGATGCTGGCCATCATGCCCTCAAACGGGTTGCCGCCTCCAAACCGCAGGCCGGTGGGACCCGAACAGCCCTCAGGCAGGCAGGAGCGCGAGGCAGCAGCAGAGTCCTGGTCCTGGGCACTTGTAGCTTCAGAGAAAACACCATCAAGACACACCTGAGTCATTAGAGTGCTTGCACAGGCAGAGGCAATCACTTCACTGGCATCCTCCGCGACAGCACGGCTCACCGACTCAAGAGGGCACGGGATCCGGTGGGATATACTGGGACCTTCCGGTCTGTCCTGACCCAAGATCCCTTGCACTTGCACGTCACCACCCAGCCTCGGAGGAAAAGGTGCACTCGCAGATTGTGCCTCACACACACAGGTTGGCATCAGGCTGCTAGGGGTCAAGTGGGATATACTCGGACCTTGCGGTCGGCCTGAACCCAAAGACCCTTGTAATTGCACTCGGCCAGAAACCCTCGGAAGAAGCTGCCCGCCAGCGGGCCGCAGTCCACAAACGCAGTTGTGCATCAAGCCATCGGAGCAAACCTCGCACGCACATGTTGGAAGCAGGCTGCTGGGGGCCAAATGGGATATACTCGGACCTTTCGGCCTACCATGACCCACTGACCCCTGCAACTGCACACAGACAGGCGGGTTTCTAGGATCATACATGTCAGCAGGGCACACGTCACACAGGCAGTAAGGCATCAACCTACCAGGAGCCAAGCGGGATATACTCGGACCTTTCGGCCTGTCTTGACCCAATGGCCCCTGCAACTGCGCACCGTCAAGATCACTCTGAGTTTTCAACGGTCCTGCTAGGCGCGTCGGAGGCACCTGGGCGCAGGCGCCACCAGAAAGACTCCCCACGGCCCGCATGAAACAAGCTTGGTTGGTGCAATTCGGACTGTGGCCCATGGCAGCATGAGATGCATCAAGAGAGACCTGATCCGAACCCTGCAAGTCAGCAACCTGTGGAACCTGACACATGCAAGAAGAGACTGCATCGAGCCTATCACTGTCCAGGCCACACACTTCAGAAGTTGCAGGCTCACTCTGAGGCAAGACCGCACATGTTGGCACAGCATCTCTCCCTGTCGAAGGCTTGCAAGTGCACTCGGGTACTCCTAAAGGCACAGGAGGGGGCCTAAACCGAAAGGGAGAAGGGAAACCCAGTTGCAGGCATTCGCCACCGCAGTCAGCACGGTCCTTGTACTGCTCGACGAGACCACAGTCCCCGCGATACACCGATGTATTACACGCCGACAGCGGTCTGTATTGGTGAGGCCCCCGAAGCCCTGGGTCACCGACCCCACCTCCTCCTGCCAAAAACTCAACACCCGGATTGCACCCACCGCCTGGGCTCCGGGGGCACGCTCTATTTGGCAGCACAAGATCATCCCGACCAGTCGTTGCAGCGGCCTGGACATCGGGTACCCAAGAGGGCAAAGGCCTAAACCCTAGAAGAGAAAGGGAGCCTTGGTCAGTGCAGCAGTGGGGCAGCGCATCGCCCCCAACAGAGGACACGGGTACCCCTACGCGGGAGGACCTAAACCCTAGGGAGGCAAAGGAACCACGGCAAGGGCAACAGCCCCGGCAAGAAGTGTCATCAGCCACCGCACCATCGTCCTTGCCCTGCGCGATGTAGAACTGGCCGCCACCGTCGCCGTCCGCCAGCGAGCCCAGGCCATGGCAGCAGCACTGCGAGGAGGAAGAACCGGGGGGCTCCGAGGAGCCAGGTCTACCTCTAGCACAAGTAGCTGGCGCCAGTAGCCCAGCTTCAGTCTCGATCTTTGCCCTTTCGCGGGTCTTGGTAGTGCAGAGCCCCCACAAGACTTTAAGAACACGGCCGTAAAGTCTCTTCTTGCTACAGTCAAGCTCGCACTCACCATCACAAGAAACACTAGTTAGGCCACTCAGGCTCTTTGCCCTTTCGCGGGTCTTGTTGATTTCTTGACACTCACAATCGGTCCTAGCTAGGCCTCTAAGGCTCTTTGCCCTTTCACGGGTCTTATTGATTTCTTGGTTGTCACACACAGGGTTCTCAGCAGCGCAAGTCGACGTCCCACATGGCCCAGCACCAAGGTCCAGACCAGGCGCTGAGGACAGAAGCTGCTGCTGCGGCGCGTAGTAAAGAAACTCCTCAGAGAAAGTGTCCTCAATCAAGTGGAGCCCAAATGCTGCACTTGCCTGCGGCGCGTAGTAAAGAAACTCCTCAGAGAAACTGTCCTCAATCATGTGGTGCCCAAATGTTGCACCTGCCTGCATGTCAGGAGCATGCGCACAAGGCTCATTCGCCAAAGGTGGCCCCTGAGCAGGGCATTCATCCCCAGCAATCCCGTGATCCATCCCCGAGGACCAAGAGGTTGCAGCAGCAAGCAGGTTGCCGCCCACACACGTGCCATCGGAGCTCCCAATCTCCGAAGCCCCTGGTCGGAGCCCCCAGGTCCCAACAGCGCACCACATCATGGAAATTGGCACACCGCGTTGGGCCAAGAAATCCAAATCCTTCTGGAACAGCTGAAGCTGAAAATCACGTGCTCGAACAATGAAAGCGCTCAGCATTTGCAGACGCTGAGCCACCCACGGTTGCGCATCTCGGACATTGCCAGACGCTTTGCCCCAGCTGCCGAAGCAGCTCTTTTCTTCCCCATTCACTTCTTTTCCCATCAAAGAAGCACCATCACTCAAAGCACGATTCATTCGCTTCAAAGATCGCCGTAAGTGTAGGTAACACCCACAATCAGGGCCTCCAGAAGAAGGAGCCAAGGCACGTGTGGGAAGTGTCAGCCCTGTACCTGGGAAAGTACAGGTTAACCAGCTCAAGACGCGAGGAGTCCCTTCCCACTTGAGCCCACAAAACTCCAGAATTTCCGGTTGTCTGGGGCTGAGCGCCTTCGAAAAGACCGCTCAGCTGCTGTCCGAGGTCCTCGCGGGTCGGGTGAAACATCCCTCAAAGCCGAGTCATCAAGGAGAGTGCAAGCTGTGCAGCACAAGTCCTAGCGACGACACTCGGCAACACTATCAACAAAAGACGAGGCATCGTTAAGAGAGCCTTCGCCACACGTCGAGCGGGAGGGAAGTCAGGAAGCCGCAGTCCGTCTGACATGAACCTCCTCTTGTGAGAAGAGTGACAAGTTGGATGCAGTAACTATGCAACTGCATCCAGAAAACTTCCGAGCAGCACAGCTACGGTTCGGAATGAAGTACAACTCAAAACGACCTGAGCATCAATGCAACGAGTCAGGTCCCCTGCACAGAGCAGCAAGGCTACGGGTCTGAACAAGGCAAGAATTAAAGAAACTCGCGGGAGACTCTCACGTCAACTCAGAAGGCGTCGTCAGGGGAGCTCAGAGGACCTCGCCAGTCGCAGCCCACAGCAGCCGCCCTTGTAGTTGACGAAGAAGAGGAAGTAGCTTGAGCCAGCAGCCCACACCAGCAGCGGCAGCGCCGAGCACAGCCAAGCTAGCCGCGCTAGGAGTGGAGCAAAGTTCACACCAGGTGCAAGCGGATGGGCCTCGGCCCCACAGATCGAGCAGCATTTGTCGTAAGAAAAGTCCTGGGATCAGACTCCCGCCAGCAGCAGCAGCGCTCACACACGTAAGCAGAGCCGCGCTCAGCAGCTCTGAGCTCACTCCAGGTGCACACGGGTACCCTAAGGGGGGAAAATGGGGCCTAAACCCAAAGGAACCCAAAAGGGGGAACAAGGACATCGCAGAGCCACGGAAGGCCTAGGAGCGTGATCCCCCGCCGCAGCAGCAGCACCACGCAAGCAAAGCGAGGCCGCACTCATGCAGATTGGAGTTCACGCCAGGTGCACACGGGTACCACTAGGGGAAAGATGGGGCCTAAACCCAAACAAACCCGAAGAGGAGCAGGCAGGATGTGATTAAGTGTCCCGCCCAACACGTGAAAAAGTGCGAGCATGGGAGCGTCGGCATCACACAAGCACAGGTCACAGTGAAAAACCCTAAAGGGACGGACCTAAACCCGAAACCACAAGGGAAGGGGAGGGTCCAGGCGAGGGGCCAAATGAGTCTGCAAGCGGCGCACACGTGAAAGACATGCCGACGGCAATCAAGAAATTGAGAGGCCCCAGGTGTGTTGTCCCAGATCATCCTGACATTGTCAGGGCCTAGGGGCCTAGCCCCTTCGGGCTCAGCGTCATCGAGAGGGACGCTCTTCACATGTTTGTCCAGCTGCTCAGCAGCAGCTGCCGCAAGTCGTATGGTAGTCAGCTCCCAATCCCGAGCCTGATCACACTGCTGATGCCAGCGCTCCCTTTGAGAGCCAGAGAGCCTGTTTTGCATGCAGCTGCCCACCGCCTCATCTGCAGCATGGTTAAAGGCGCGGAGTACATCCGCATCGTGATCCGGCAACGGCCTCCAGCGGGGGTGCTTATTATGTGACGGCACCCAAATCAAGGAGATCTCACAGCCGCGCCTCTCCAGCTCCTTCCAGAGACGGCGCGTGTCCCTCAGCAAGAGACCCAAAATAAAGGGGTCGTCACCATGGCCCGAGATGGCCGTGAGAGCGGCTTTGCAGTCAGTCAAGAGAAAGATGCACGTCTCGCAACCCTCATGCACTCCACACCCGGTGGATCGACTCAAAGGCCGCGTGGAGGGCCAGCACTTCTTGCCGATACGGGGATTGGTCCTCTGCCCTAGTACCCATGGCATAGGCACAAGACGGATCACCAATCACCACGGCAAAAGCTCCGACAGATCGGTGGCTGGAGCCATCAGTGGCCGCATAGATCCTGTTTTGGCCCGAGCAAAGCGCATCGCGGAAAGCAGCATCTAAGGCCGCCCGAAAAACCCGACGGTCAGAGGTGGCTGGCGCCGGGGGTTTCAAGGGAGTGGACTTGGCAAACATGCGTTCCTCCGCTCGCGTCTCCGGCGGAGGGTGACCTCGTCGGAGCGCCTCAGTGCACTCGCAAACCCACGTCACGTGCGGTCGCGACGGAGCAATCGCGCCGCAAAGGCATTGCATGCGTCGGTGTTGCTCGTGCAGCCCTTGACCAGCCGTGAAGAACCAGCACGAGCCTCCCGTGACGGCAGCGGCCCGTCGCATATAAGAAGTATTCGCCTCATGCATGGCAACACGGTGCCCGCGAAAGCTAAATCGTGCATCCCGCGACGGAGGCTCAAGATCCAGGCCTCGAGCAAGACTCGGGTCCGGCCGATGAAAGCTTCGCCAGACGCGCTGGCATTTTTGCATGTAAAGGTGACGGTAGTGGTCAAACAGCCAGCCCTTTACCTCAGCAAAGCTCTCCCACCCGACTTGCACTTCACGAGAGACTCCCAAGTCGTCACGGCAAACGAAAAAGAAACCTTCGGGACGCTCAGCGACAGTCCATCCCAGTCTGCGGAGAAGGTCAGGCGCAGCAGGCAAAAGCTGATCCCAGCGCTGGCTCCGGACGTCACGCGGCAGCACCAGGGCAAAGGCCGGAGGCTTGCAAAGGAGACGCCAAGCCTCGCGGAGAACTGCAGCGTCAGCAGCACACTGTGGCTCCAACATCCACCCCACATGTTCGAAGACCAGGACTCGCGGGGCTTCAAAAGAAAATTGACTGTCAAATGCCCGAATCGCAGCAGCTTTAACTTGCTTCATTTCACCTGCCAGTGGCGTCGCGTAGGCAGCGGCCCACAGTAAGCACGGGTAAACAAGCGATTTCAACATGAGGGCCCGCAGCCGACTGCAGACGGTAACCCAGCGCAGAAGTTCCATGCGCAGTAAAGCTTTTCTCAAGGAGAACTTCAGCAAGCCCCATTCATCATTAAAAGCAATCGTGACTCCTAAGACTTCAAGGGTTTGCGAGTACTGATAGTTCAGTCGGGCAGCCAGAGCGGGAGCTTCGACATGACCCTCTGGCGCCACAATCGCACACTTGGGCAAGGATATTTCGAGGCCGCAAGTGGCATCGAACCGATTTGAGCGATGGATGGCATGCTCTAGCTCGCCAAGATCCGCGGAAAAAGTCCAGAAGGAGCGGTCGTCCAATTAGACCAGGCCTGAAACCCCTTGCCTCAAAACAGTTAACGTCCAAAGGTGGCTGAAAGCGGCAGCTAGGGTGGGACTTAAGGGGCATCCCTGCGCTATACCCAAGCGGGGCCTAAACCAGGCAATCCCTTGTGGTCGACATGACCCTTATAATAAGGTACGTGTGCGTTTAGAAATGAGCCTTATTATAAGGGCCATTTCAAATGGACCTTAAAAACAGCAACTCTGGACGTTTACACTCTGTACATAGGCCTTTGTACAGCGTTTGTCTTGTTCCTGCGCTAATTGCCACAAAAAAAACAAAAAAACCTTAAATATCCCCTATGATTCATATCAACCCTGAACCCCTGCAGGTTGAAATCCCGACCTTATAGTATTTAAGTGTGCATATGCATGGTGCTCAACAATGCGGCTAGCAGAACACTTCGTGAGGGTTGCAGTGCATGGAGCATGAGCTTTGTAGTAGCAATAGTAGTAGTAGTAGTAGTAGTAGTAGTAGTAGTAGTAGTAGTAGTAGTAGTAGTAGTAGTAGTAGTAGTAGTAGTAGTAGTAGGAGTATTAGTAGTAGTAGTAGTAGTAGTAGTAGTAGTAGTAGTAGTAGTAGTAGTAGTAGTAGTAGTAGTAGTAGTAGTAGTAGTAGTAGTAGTAGTAGTAGTAGTATAGTATAGTAGTAGTAGTAGTAGTAGTAGTAGTAGTAGTAGTAGTAGTAGTAGTAGTAGTAGTAGTAGTAGTAGTAGTAGTAGTAGTAGTAGTAGTAGTGGTAGTAGTCGTGGTATGTTTTTCTTTTTCGTTTGCCCCCTACAGGGAGGGTTGATGGTGAGACAACCCGGGGGCAAATGAAAAGGAAATAGTAGTAGTAGTAGTAGTAGTAGTAGTAGTAGTAGTAGTAGTAGTAGTAGTAGTAGTAGTAGTACATCGTATTGGTACGAATACCATTACTGGCGCTAGCAGTCGTATAAAGTAGTAGTTGTATTTGCATTGTTGTTTCATTATAATAGTAGTATATAAGTACCGTATTCAGTGGTTGTTATGGAAAGAATAGTGGAGTAGAAGAGGCCTCGGGAAAATAGTATGTAGTTGTTGTAGTAGTGGACGTTGTGGTGAACTTATAATGGAGGCAATAGTGGTAGTAGAGTAGTATTAACTACTAGCATTCAGTCACAGTAGTCTCGTTCTGCTTAGCTCCTTCAGTACCTGTTTCCCACGTGCAATGTCGAGCTCCGATTCCGAAATCGACTCGCAGATGCTCCGCCGGATGGAGAAGCGCGAAGTGTTCGTCGACACGTTCAAGAAACAGCACATGTACCAGTATGTGCAAGAAAAGTTGAAGAAGATCGATTGTGATGCTGTGGTGATATCTCCGCCAGTGACTCCTCGTGCAGCAGTCAGCAATCCGAAAAGTGTACGTGAAAAAGAGACCTTCCAATGGAAGAAAAAGGTTATGCATCTGTATGAAGTGTTCACGACGCCGTTGAAGCTGGATTTTGCCAGAGATGTATATATTTGACTATGGCCTCCAGTTTCCGCAGATCCGTGTCGACCTGGAATTCGTAATTCACGTTCGAGTCAAGCCGGACCACTGTTTGGAGGGCGAGAAAAGCAGTTGTGTTTGTCCCTCTCGTAGTCGTCCCAACCGTAGCGGTATTGTACTATGTACTAGTATCTAT